CCCCCCCCTTATCGGCCAGCACCATGTCCGCCCCCCCTAAACCTGAGTTCGATGCCTCTGCGACGACAACTTCGCTGGCCGCGTCCGTCGGCCTGGCCAAGTCGCTCGTATCCTCCTGGTTCTCGGATGTCGACCAGGCCAAGCCCACTTCGGCGTCCGATGGCAAGGGCGCCTCGGCTGGCTCGAAACCCACCAAGCAGACCCGGTACGCCTGTCGGCTCGCCAATGCCACCGGATAAGGCGTGGCGGCCTGCCACACCTGCATACACTCCCATGTGCACAGATACATATATATATATATGCATATTTGCACATTCACGTGCAGATAGCCCAAGGCGCATATGTTACTGACACACATGTTGACGTCCACTGAAGCTCTGGTATCGGCGCCACTACCAGCGCCACCCTGCAGAAGGCTGTGGCCGATTACGCTTCCAATGCCTCACAGCGCCGCCTGGCTCGAGACCTGGCCCTGATTGACAAGGCCCATGTACAGGGGCCTGGCACCGAGGATGGCGAGGATGTCGGCGTGTCGGCACCGTCCAAGCGCCGGCGCCCGGCTGACGATGATGACGGCGACCAGAGCGATGACTTCGACGAGGAAGACAGCCGCTCGCGTGTGGTGGCCAAGATGCGGATAGCTGCCGAGGCGCAGCTCCAGCAGAAGCAGCTTGGCGAGGCACCCGGCTCCAAGCAGAAGATCCTGCCCGATGGCACGGTTCTGTCGGTGGCCAAGCGCCGGCGTCTCCGGAAGAAGGCTGCCAAGGAGGGCCGCGCCTCCACCGATGGCGGGGCCGCCCCCAGCGAGGTGGCTCCTGTGCCGACCGCCTCCACTGAGAAGCCTGTCGCCGAGGAGGAGCCCACCGCCACGCAGCCCGCCGCCACGCAGCCCGCTCCCGTGGCTGCCAATGATGCCACCGCGGAGAACACCGATCCGTGGGCCACGAACTGGAGCGATGCCTCCGGCGCTGAGAGCGACTCTGACGAGGAGTCCTCCCCGGCTGCTCCCACTGGCAACAGCCGCATCCGCGTTCAGCCTCTGGATCTATCGCGCACACGTCTTCCGCGTGAGCTTCGCCCGAACCTCCACGCTGGCGATGATCGCCCGGAGAAGGATGTGCGTCTCGGCAGCGATGCCAGAATGCCTTTCATGTTGGTCAGAAGCACCATCCATCCACTTCCGTACTTACCAGCCTATCTGTGGCATTTTATCCCCCTTGCACACATGGGCACGCCCCCGCCTCACACACACACATTTGCTCTCCGGCAGAAGAACGCCAAGCCAGCCAAGTCTAAGCGGCGCAGCCGGCAGAAGAACCTCAAGAAGGATACCCGGCCCGATCATCAGGTATGCAACACCAGGGCGACGCATCTTCCTCCTTGTAGACATCGCCTTCTCAGCTCTGACTCTCTCTCTCTCCCTCTCGGCACTTCTCCGCGCCCTTCCCCATCCGCCTTCCGAGCAGAAGCCCACCTATCTTACCCCGGGAGCGGCTGACTACCGGCCCATCCTTGGCCCGAAGAAGCGCGCTGACAAGGCGTCCGGGCCCAAGGACAAGAAGGACAACCTCAAGGTCTTCGACTGAGGATGGCATCTTGCTGCTGTTGCTGCTGCATTGGCCTTCCGACTCTGCCATATCCCATTTCCCTGTGCCATAAAGAAATAGACACAAGACCACGTTGCCTAGGCGTGTGCACATTCGTACGCATAGGCACAAGGTGTGGCCATCAACGGGGAGAGGCGGGAGGACAGGGGGGGGGAGGAGGAAGAGTGTATTTGGGGCGAGGGGCGGGGGAATCCAGAAAAATGGGCGCTGGAAGCAAGCAAACAACAGGACACAGAGCGTGTCCCACACCCACGCACGCAGCCATATACCCGTCACTGGATGAGGAACGATGAGGACTTGACGGTGACGTCTCCGGAGAAATCGACCGGGGCGCCCTGCGCCGAGGTGATCGAGGCCACAGCGATACCGGACAGCGGGGCCACCAGCTGCCCCTGCGAGGTGTGCTCGAGTGGCGTGACACAGTTGAAGTCGATCTTGACGGGGAAGATGTTGTCCGGGTTGGATCCGCAGTGGCCAATGACGAGGCTCTGTGGCGAATGCAAATGAGTGATGCCCATTTCCGATCGCGTGCCAGGAGGGGAGGGAATGTAAGCTGAGAGACCGCGTAATCGGTGCATGTGGGGGGGGGGGGGGGGGG